CGAGAGAAAGTGGTTAGTGGGAGGAAAGTTGCAGCATACGTGAAAAAACTAACTTTCCTTTGTTAAGCCGTGGTAGACAATAGACTTTAGAAATTCTTCGGAAACAGGCGTTTGTTTGGTTTGAAGGACCTCTACTAGGAAATTCCTGAGATTTATGGAAGATACTTAAGGCTATTGAAGGTATGCCGTATGGAAGAGCGGACATCTGGTGTCCGTCTGGCCCGCGGTGTGTGACCTGGGCCAGGCAGAGAGTCGCCCGGCGTAACACGTTCATTGATACATTCAGAACACATACATATTTTAATGATAGTTACAATGTAACATCATTTCCATATTACATGCAAGGTATGACAGCTCTAAGGCACAATATGAAATCAGCAACGTTCAGTTTAATAAATTATACCTTTTATTCGTGTTCCATCATGGAATAACGCGGTGGTGTTTCCCATATTGCACTGGACGTGCGTTGTAAACTACTCCTATCTATATTTTGAAACATTTTAGTTAAATCTGGTGTGCACTTTCTGCTATCAAAGAATTTATAGACTGCTTTCTCCGGAATGTATCGTTGCATTGCAAGTTGATTTTCACATATGTGCGCTAAAATTGATAAAAATTCGGGTGCTCTATGCGTTCTAATATTTATTAACCCATTAAGTAAAACACTACTTACATTGTGTCCAATATAGAATTGTATGCTTTGGTCTCGATTCATCATGTGATTCATTGCCGTCAGGTTCACTATCCAAATCGTAAGTGGTTCGACCATGCTGGAGCTATATTTTGTCTAAAATATTGAATGAATAATAGTTTGTGCTTTTGTAACAGAAGAATACTTTGGTATTGTTTGTAATGTTACCTGTGATGTAAGCATCTGATGCTTTCCATTGCTTCAGCTACAGCTTGTCTTTGAGCTCTTTCTTTTCGTCTTTCAGCTTCTTGTTCTCGACGTCTTTGTTCATTTAATATTTTTTTTATTTATTAAAATTTACAATCAATTCTCGTATTGAGAATTTTCAGTAATTTTTTCTGGCGTGACATGGCTAATTATTTATAATAAGTTAATACTTACTATAGATAAGTATAATTTATAAGTAAGTATTATAAATAAGTAAATATTACTTAATATAAATATCTAATTAAATCTAGTGTTTAGGTCTAACGGGTAGTGTTTCTTCAACCTGCGGATCTGGTCCGTCGCTTGATTCCGAATCTGGTCCGTCGTGTCAAGTAGTCCAGTGATTAGGGGGTTTCGGTGTTTGTTGACTCTTTTGCTATATCTGTCGCTATATTTTGCTATTTCCTCTTTGACTGTGGGTACCTTGAGGTCGCGATGTATTAGTTCGTCGGTAACATACCAGGGTGCATTTATAATGGATCTTAGCGTTTTCGATTCGAAGCGTTGAAGTATTTCAGTGTTGGAGTTACTTGCTGTTCCCCATAGTTGGATTCCGTAGGTCCAGACAGGTTTTATTACGGTCTTATATAGGGTAATTTTATGCTGTGTGTTTAGTTTGGAGCTTCGGCCCGTGAGCCAATAGAATTTTTTTAGTTTGTCCTTTAGTTGCTTCGTTTTGTCTGTGATGTGGTTTTTCCAGATTAGTCTCCTGTCCAGAGTCATGCCCAGGTATCTTGCTAGAAATTGTTGTATTGTTGATGGTAACCTGGGGGCAGATTTGTTTTCGGAGCGTGAAGGTTACATGTGAGAATTTTTTTTCATTAATTTTGAAGCCCCATTTATGAAACCACTTTTCCATGGAGTCGAGACATCGCTGGAGAGTGGATGAAGCAATTATCGGGTCTGCGAGTGTTTCGCACGTTCGACGCCACGAAACGTTCGATCCCCTATTCCTTGTGAGATAATAAGGGTAGTTAAACTGTAGATAACGCTGCTTTTAACAGGTTATCAGCGCAGGACGTGACACCTTATTGATTTATAAGGTACTTTTCTCTTTTTAATCTCTTCAAATATCTTTGTTTACTTTATTAAATTAACGCATTTTATATGTCGGGTTTACATTAGAATTAGGGTTAGGGGCGTGAAACGAATCTTCGCTTGGATTATCGCGTTGTCGTTATGCAATAGAGAAAACATTGACTAGTGCAAATACGATTGTCATAGAACCGGACAAGTAACCGTGGTAATTAGATACTCGAAAAACTAATGACAATGATCCTAGGTTCAATAACGAATCCGCGGTTGACGGCATGATAGATGAACGTGCTCACAAAATCTAAGTCGGACGCGTAATATTCACTGGTCGT